CAGGGGGGCTGGGAATATAGCTCAGCGGCATAAGCACCTGCCTGGCAAGCACAAGGTCATGAGTTCGATTCCCAGTACCAAACAATAAATAAATAAATAAACCCTCTGTCTGGATCACTGTTTCCCTCACCCAGTTCCTGCTCAATGCATAGTAGGAGCTCAAAAACTATTTGTTGAAAGTATATACTTGATGAACAAACTGAGTTCATGTTTGTCTTCAGGAATATCTGTGTGAGTGGTCACATGGTCCCCCATGACTGGAGGTGGGTCTTTCTAGAATCTAATAACACTCTGACATTCATATTCAGTCCTAGGAGTCATCATATATAAATAGCATTGACCAGAAATAATAGCCAGGCCAGGGTGGCGAGCAGGGATTTTGCAGAAGAGGACATTCCCCTAATCAAGTCGTCCTGCTCCGAGTCTGGAAACATGAGGACTTTCTCTAAAAGGAAAGGGAGAAAGAGGAGTGAACGTCCGTCACGTGCTCACTGTATGTGCGGGAAGTGCTGTGTGCAAAATAAATGAGGTTCTGTCCTCTCGGACCATCTGAGCTACGGCGGGTGATGTCCACTGCAGAAAGAAGGACCTAGAGACTCCATCCATTGTCCCAGCCACCTCCAAGGGGAAGGAGAGGACAGAGATGGGGGACTCAGTGTGTGTTAAGAACAAAACTAGACGTATATATTTGCGAGAAGTGGGTTTTGGCTCAAGAGAGGAAATGGTGAATTAGCTTCGGAGGAAGTGAGTTCTCTGTCCCCAGAGATATTCAAGCGGAAACAGGATGACCGCTCAGTAGACTCTAGGGACCCCTTCTGATGAGAAAATTCTTTTATTTGTTTCAAGTAGAGCTTTCTCTGGTCTTCGCCAGCGGGGACCTCCACCTCCGTAGTCTACCCCATTGCCGCCTGGGGGAACTGGCTGGGAAGGGACAGGCTGGGACCACCCCTGCCAGACAGACCTTCCTTCCAGGACATTCCTAGGAGACCCGAGTCTCCAAAGCAGGCCTAAAAGCCAGGGGGAAGCAGAGCGCTGTGCCCTCAGCCCACCCACACCTGAGGGCGGCGCCGGAGCCCATCATGAGCACCCTCGGAAGGGCAGGCACCGGCTGGACGCCCAGGCTGACTGTGAAACTACCACCCGCAGAACAGGGGCTCCGGCTGGGACTCTGCTCTCTGCTCCCACTGGACAGCCAGGGACAGGAGAGGAGACCCTGACTGCACCTGGTCTCGGCACTGAGTAAGGGGTGCCAGGCAGCGATATGCCTGCGCCCATGAAGTGCAGGGTCACTGCGCTGCTCCGCCGTACCAGGGAATGTCCCCGCCTTGTGCACATTTGTGACCAGGCTAAGCCCAACATGGCTGAGAACTTGCCCACCCCCCAAACTCGGGGGGCTGCCCTGATACCCCCTGATGGCCAGCTGGCCAGGGAGATGGAGGGGGGAGACCCTCCATGCCAAGTGTCTCTTTCTCCTGCCCCTGTGGGAGGGCGTGTGCCTACTCGCAAGCTCAGGGAGCAGCTGGAGAGGGAGAGGACCCTGACCTCACACATGCAGATGTGGCTGACCTATTCCAACAGGGCCCCTACGCAGGACAAAGAGGAAGCCACCTGCACGGGACACACTAGATTCCCAAGCTGGGTGGTAAGCAAGCCCTCCAGAGGACCCCAAGACGTGAAGACAAACACCCTGAGACATGACTTCCTCTGTTGATATGGCGCTCAGGAGGTCTCTCCTCAGACACTCCATACCTCTCCCCAGAGAGGAATCCAAGCCAAGAAGCTGTCCGCACACTTGTTTCTAAGCTGAGCACAGAGGGAAGGTCCCAAGACCACGAGTGGGTAGAGGAGGACACAAATGAATTGTAACTAAACGAGTGAATGAGTTAGTGATGAACAATGAGCACATGAATGAGTGATTAAATGAATATATGAGTAGAAGAGTAATGAATGGGTGGGCAGATGGGTAGATGGAAAGTTGACGGACAAGTGAATGAACGGGTGGGTGGAGGGAGGGATGGATGGATGGGTGGAAGGTAAGATGGATGGGTAGCTAGATGGGTGGGTGGAAATACAGTGGATAGGTTGATGAATGGGTGCATGGATTACTGGATGGACTCATAGATGAAGAAATGATGGGTGGGGCCAGGGATGTAGTTCAGTGGCACAGCACCTGCCTGGCAAGCGTGAGGCCCCGAGTTCAATTCCCAATACCTGCCAAAAAAAAAAAAAAAGACAAGATGATGGGTGGATGCATTGATGAATGGGTAGACTGCATGGGTGGAAGGAAGAAAAGAGGAGGATGGAAGGGAGGGAGGGAGGGAGGAAGAAAGGAAGAGAGGAACAGAGGGTAGATGGAAGGAAGATGAGTGGGTGAATTGATGAATAGAAGGATTGGTGGATGGATGGTGGGGGGATGGATGGGATGGATGGATGGATGGATGGATGGATGGATGGATGGATGGATGAATGGGTGAGTGGATGAGTGGGTAGGTGGGTGGGTGGGTGGACCGACAGTTGGACAGATGGACAGGTGGGTGGATGGGTGGATGGGTGGATGGGCAGGTGGAGGGGTGAGTGTGTGAGTGGATGGTGGATGGGTGGATGGATGGATGGGTGGGTGGATGGATGGATGAATGGGTGAGTGGATGAGTGAGTAGGTGGGTGGGCGGGTGGATGGATGGATGGTGGAGGGATGAAGGGTAGAGGGATGGAGGGTAGAGGAATGCATGCATGCATAGATGGAGAAAAGTATAAGCCAAAGCATAGATTTTAAGGCTAGGCAATGGCTATGACAGAAACCAAGATGGGACATTGTCCCCTCTACCTAGATTCCCATTCTGGGCACTGGGAAGTGGACCCTCCCGGTCAGGACAGCCCCTGCTTCCTACAAACCTCTCTGAGCTCTCAAAGCCGGTCAAGGCCAAGCCACTCCCCCATCAGACAACCCATGCTCCATCCCAACCACCCTCTTGCAGGCCTGGGCCTGCCCGGGGGAAGCGCTTGGAAGGATCCCTGGCTGCCTGCCATCCTCACCACACCCTGCCCGGAGCTTGGGATTTGATGCGCAGTTTGTGGGGCAGGGAGGGCTGAGCCACCATCTCAGGACTGTCCCCCGGGGTGGGGCAGGTCACCCCCGGGGAAATCACAGTGGGATCTGCAGAGGGCGTCAGAAACACCTCAGAGGGCCCCGAGGCCTGGCATCCAGGGGACACGGGGGAGCACAGTCCCCAGCAAGACCTCAGCTCCAACCTGGGCCTGGCGTGCCCATCCAAGAGGTGACGACGGAGGAAGGCAGCCGGGCGGGCAGCCTGCAAGCCTGTGTCCACTCCTTTGGGGGCAGGCGCAGCAGGCTCCCGGGAGAATCCGGGCGAAGCCGCAAGACCGGTCCATCCCCGAGCCACCAGGCAGCCTCGGCACCCTGCGGTCCCGGACTCCAGAGAACACGGGCTTAGGAGGCGGCAGTGGGATCCAGGCAGAGGCGAGAGTGCTTCGGCCTCGGAGTGCGCCTCTTCGGCCCAGGGCGGCTCCCACAGCACAGCCGGCAGGGGCAAGGTCTGGGGGCCGCCAAGAGGCGGCAGGAGGCCGAGGCGAAGCTTGAGGGCGCGCAGCTCCGCCCTGAGCAGGGCGTTCTCCTCCAGCAGCGCGGCCAGTCTGCCCTCAATGGCCACATCGTTGAGACGCCTTTTCTCCCGGGACCTCTTGGCCGCCTCGTTGTTCTTTCTCCGCCTCTCCCAGTAGAGCGTGTCCTTCTTCTCCTCGGGCATGAACTCCCGCTGCCGACGCACGGCTGGGCCCCTGCCCCGAGAGCCCCAAAGAGTCTTCCTGGGAGCCCGCGGTGCGTCCGGCAGCCCCAAGAGCCCCACGTCCATGGCCGCCTGGGCGCCCTGGGGAAGAGGAAAGAGGTCTGGGACGAGGCTGGAGGCTGACCTCAGCGCCCTCTCCCTTTAGCTTACCCTGCACGTCTAACAGCACCGGGAGAAGGGGCCGGTGGGACGGGAGTCAGAAGGGAAACCCGCGTGGACAGAAAGGGAAGCTGTAGGACGGGTTATGCCCAGGGAGGCGGGGCCGAGACCTCCAGGGAGAAGCCAGAAGAGCGTCCCACGCCACCGTGGAGACCCCGTGTCTCCGCGTTCGCGGGGTCCCTGAGGGCGGGCTCCTTACCGCTGAGGTCAGCGAACAAGTCAAGGGCTCGGCTTCGTCTGAGATCTCAGGTAAATCTCTCGGAGACCAAGAGGGAGACACAAGGAAGGCTGAATCTAGGAAAAAAAAAAAAAAAACGTGTTAACCAGGGAGCTAAGGCAGTCAAGCCGGGGCGTCAGAAAATAAGCTGATGCTCATCTGAACCGTGCCCAAATTGTACCACCAAGATCTCCTTCTGTGGCCAGAATTTTGCAACTGCCTCGCCATCCGATTACCCATGTGTGTATCAGATGACTGAATTGTCCGTGCATTCATTCAGCTGTCCATCTGTCCATCCCTCTACCGCCCGCCCAACCAACCCACCACCCACCGTTCAGCTGTCCATGCACCTACCCTTCACCTCAGCTACCTACCCACGCCCTCCAGCACCCACCCATCTCCCCAGCAGACGGCACAGTCACTCACTGGCTCTCCCACTCGTCCACCCATCACTCCTTTGCAGCTGAAATGGATCCCCCAAATTTCACAAGCCGAGAACTGAATCTCCGGTCTCATATGTTAACGGTATCTGGAGATGAGATATTTGGGAAATGACTGAGTCACAAGAATTCTCCCCTCGTGAGTATAATAATTAGTTCGTGGATTAACGGGTCAGCAGGTTACTGAGGGAGTGGTTTTGTTATAAGAATGAGCTTTCACTTTTTCTTACCAGGTAACGCCCTCTACTCTATTTTTCCCTACTGGAGATTGAACCCAGGGCCTTCACGCTGAGCCCTTTTTTATATATTTTTTTTGTTTTGAGATAGCACCTCACTAAGTTGCTAAGTCACCCAGGCTGGGCTCAAACTTGCAGTCCTCCTGCCTCAGCCTCCATGAGTGCCGGGGTTGCCTCTAACAAGATGGTCCTCACTAAATGCCAAGTAGATGCTAGCACTGTCCTGAGGGACTCCCCAGTCTCCTGGGCCATGAGCTAAGTTAACCTGTATGCTTTATAGATTACCCAGACTGGGCTGCAGAAAAAAGACTGAGACACTGTCTAACAGTCCGTTCACTCACTGACAGATTCATTTTAAAAACAATAATACTGCGCCCTTACTAGACATTTGTCCACCCGCATGTTTATCCATTGGTCCCACCCATCCACCCTTCCATTCCTTGATCCCTCCCATAAATACCTTCCTCTATTCAAATCATCCTTCCCAAACTCAATGATTTATCTACATATTCACCTATGGATCCACCTGTCATCCAAAAAAATCAATAAAAATGTGATTCTTGAGAACTTCGCCTGCCCGTACCGAAGAACTGGAATGTAAGAACCGGGCCAGAGGGGAACCAAGTTCTTGGCTTCCCAACTCCCAGGATGTCTTAACAATTCCTGCTGAGCCAATCACAAGCCACACAAAGCCCTCAAAATTTCCCTGTTTGCTTTGGCCACCAGCAAACTCAGCTCTCGGGCATTCGCTTGGTTGGTTGGTTGGTTGGTTGGTTGGTTGATTGGCTGGTTGGTTTTCTGGTCTGGTTGTCGGTTGGTTTACAGTAGTACAGATTGAACCCAAGGTCTTTCCACTGAACTACATCCCTAGCATCCCCCTCCTTCTTTGTCTGTCTGTCTGTCTGTCTATCTGCCTGTTTGTAATAGAGACCTGCTAAATCACTGTATTGTCCAGGATGCCCTCAAACTCATGACCATTCTGCCTCAGCCTCTCAGAGTGATGGGATCACAGCTGTGTGCCACCATGCCCACCTAGTACTTGATTTTAAGATTAATTGCAGCACCTTTTCGAATTTGTTTTTGTTTTTGTTGTTGTTGTTCATTTTGGTTTTGGTTTTTGTCTTCTTGAGACAGGATCTCACTATGCAGTTCAGGCTGGCCTTGAGCTCACTTTGTAGCCCAGGCTGGTCTCGAACTCACAGCAATACTCCTGCTTCAGCCTCTCGAATTTGTTGACTGTGTGTTTTCCTTCCCTAATTTGTCCTTTCAGTTTAGTCTCTTATTCTTCACCTCATTTCCTGAGGCTGCATGAGATAATTCAGGTCAAGCAAAGAAGCAGACAGAGAAGGTTAGATATCACAGTCTCTCTGGTATACAAAACCCAAAGTGTAAGTAATTTAAAGAGGAAAATATGAGAGAAATGGTAGGGAACAGGGAGGGAGACTTTGTGGAGAGAGGAGGGGGTCCAAGGACGGGGAAGACAGGAGGAGGGGAGGGGAAAGGGAAGTAAAAGGACCAAGACACCGCCTGTCTATGCCCCAGTTCCCCAGGTGAATGTATTCATTACGTCTCACAAATGTATACTAACACAACGGAGCCCAGGGGGAAAAAAGATAATTCAGAGCATGTTTGAAGGGAGATAAAGGCATAAACAGTGAAATAGCCACAATCCTAACCATGGCCCAAGTCCTCTCCCAAGGTGAGTTCTCAGGGACTACAGTGCCACGTGTGCTTAGCTCCAAAAGAAAAGAAGAAAAAGGAACAAAAACATTTGAAAAATACTGCATATCTTTTTCCACAAAGGGGACTCACAGAGTAAATTAAAAGCTCTGAGAGGTCCTGCAAAAAGTGAAAAGTTTTAGTTTTGCTTGATTTCGATGTCATCAAACTTATTTGCACCTAAAATATTTATGCTCCACCAAATACTTTCAGATATGTATTTTTTTTTTGATACAGGGTCTCACTGTGTAGCCCAGACCGGCCTCAGACTCACAGTGATCCTCCTGCCTCAGCCTTCCGAGTGCTAGGATTGTAGGTGTGCACCACCACACCCAGCAACATGCATATTTTTTGCAATGAGCCAATAAATATACAGATTTTTTTTTTATAATGAACCAGTAAACACACAGATATTTTTGGAATGAACCATTATATTCAGGGGGAGATGAACCTATAAATGCATGAATATTTAAGTAAGTTAAAGAGTGGTTGAAATGTAAGTGAATCAATGAATGAAAGTACACAAGTCATATGCAAGGCTCAGGAGCCTTGAAAGTGGGGTCCAAGGAGCCTGAATCATTCCTCTCTCCCCCAGAGGGTGGGGTGTGGGTGGTCCGCTGCCCAGGCAGCTCCTGAGTGCCCTACAAGACCAGCCCTCAGATAAGGCCCAGTGTCCGCCACCCACCCGGCCACGGCCTGGGGGAGGGGTCCCACCGGTCATTCCAACCTCACGGGATGCGGACAAGAGCCAGGACTGCGTGGGGTCAAGGGCGCATCCTCAGGTGCTGACAGTTCCTGCTCTGGTTCTGGGAAGAGACCAGGAAAAGCAAGAGACCTCAGAGACACGCTTCACCACAGCTACACTGGGAAAGGAGGGACGCAGTCCAGGGGTCTTCGAAAGCCAAGCCAGACAGAGCTACCGTTCGATCTGGCTCTCCCACTCCTGGGTATCCACCTGTCCACAGGGCTGACTCAGCGTGTCAGGGACACACTTGCCCTCGTATACTCCTTGTGGTACTACTAGCAGAGGCCAGAAACGGAGTCAACCAAGCTGTCCACGGGCAGAGGAATAGGTAAAGGGAATGTGGTAGGTGTACGCCATGGGATACCAATCCCATAGAATAGGATCTGTCTCACTATGCAGTTCAGGCTGGCCTTGAGCTCACTTTGTAGCCCAGGCTGGTCTCCAACTCGCAACAATCCTCCTGCCTCAGCCTCCCAAGAGCTGGGATTACAGGCGTGCATCACCAGGCCTGGCTAGTGTCCTCTTTAAAAAGAATGAAATCTTATCACTAGGGGTGACATAGATGAACCTGAGGACATTATGTTGTGAGCCAACCCAGGCCCAGGAAGATGAACACTGCCACATGATCGTGTTCATGTGGAAGCTGAGAAAAGCTGATGTCGGTGAAGGAGGGTGGAACGGGGCAGAGGAGCACACTCTCCGTGAGGAGGGGAGACTTCAGTCACGCATGGGACAGTGGATGCACCCTGAGACCACAGCAAGTGAAATGAATCAGGCGCATAAGCTTAAATATCACAAGGTTTCGCTTACATGAGAAACCCAAATTATAAATAAATTGACGAACAAAATAAAAGAGAGATGGTAGGTCAGATAGGGTGGCACACACCTGTAATCCCAGCACTCAGGAGGCTGAGGCAGGAGGATCACTGCAAATTGGAGGCCAGCCTGGGCTACAAAGTGAGCTCAGGGCCAGCCTGAACTGCATCGCGAGACCCTGGAGAGAAAGAGAGGAAGAGGGAGAGAGAGAGAGATAGGATGGGAAACAGGGAGATGCAAAAAGAATAAAGATGTGCTGCATCCGTGGACCAAGTCCCCATGACAGTTGCAGTCACGATGTACTGCAAATGTGTACCGATAAAAATTTTTAAAAGGAGAGAGTACAAAAGCGCCTGCTTGGCAAGCGCAAGGTCGTGAGTTCGGTTCCCGGTACTGGAGAAAAACAAAAAAAACAAAACAAAACAAAAGGAAAGAGTATCAGAGTGATCATGAGCGACTGGGGAGGCGGGTAGAGGGAGGTTGGATGACAGCTATCAAAATGCAGCTGGAGGGGAAGAACAAATTCTAGTGCTTCCCCCTCCCCCCACCCCACACAATTTGGTGACCACGACTCACAGCAACCTGTTTCATACCTCACGAAGAGCGAAGAAAGAGGCATTCAAAGGCTCCAGCCACAAAGACAGGAAAACGAGAGGCAAACGCAAATCACCCCGACTTGGTGCATGTTTCAGGTACGGATTGAACTGTCACACTGCACGCCCCCCACACACACACACACACGTACAGTTATTATGTCACTTAAAAAACCAACCACAGGGGCTGGGGATTTAGCTCAGCGGCGCAGCACCTGCCTGGCAAGCGCGAGGTCGTGAGTTCGATTCCCGATGCTGGAAAAAAAAAAAAAAAAAAACTAAAACTCCACCCAGGAAGAACCCGAGCACGGGCTGGTGGTCAGACGAGAGGAGGACAGGCTGGAGGGCTCTCTGGGGTCTCAGGCCGCGCCCATGAGCCCCCCTGCCGTGCCCCACCACGGTCCCCCACACCTGTACAGGAACCAAGATGGGGCAGCAGATAGCGCCGCTGTCTGCATTTATTTAGAGAAGGCCGGCTGTGGGCTGGGCCGGGCCTTCCTGTGGTCACAGCAGAAGGGCAGATGAGGG